ATATATATATATTATATATTATTGAAAATATTTTAATATTAATTGTAAGAATAAACAAAAGATAATACTGTATAGTGTTACACACACATTTATTCGTAATAATAATAATATTAAATTTTTTTTATTCCTATATATTCAATGAGTGAGAGGGTTACAAACTCTTCCTCCCCATCACACAATTGTCAATTTTAAAGTATTCATATTTACTTGTTATGCAAAATTTCAAAATTGTTCTACGCTAAAAAATATTTTAGAATTATTAAACATTCTAATTGATATATATTTGATTGCAAAATAGAATATTTTATCGTTAGAAAAGTATATAATTTGACATAAATGATAAGAAAATTGGTCTAACTAAAGTATCCACATCTCAATAAAGTAAATATTACAAAATATTCATACACACACGCACACGCATACAAACATAAAATAAATATATTTTTATAAATAAGTATGTTGATTTTGTGGCACTAATTTGCATTAAAAATGTAATGTTATTAAGTTTATAATAATTGGTCGACGTATTCTCGCGACAATCAATTTTCTTATCGTTTATGTCAATTTATATTTCCCTAACTATAATATATTCTTTTTTGCAATCGAATTTATATCAATTAGAAAGTTTAATAATCCTGAAATATATTTTCGCTTAGAAAGAATTTAGAAACATTTCTTTAAAAACAAATATGAATTCTTTACAGTTGACAATCGGAATGCGAATACTCTTGTGGGGGAGGGGGAGGGGTGGGGGGATGGTTACTCCTGTAAAAATCAATCAAAAAAACATTCCAATTTCACTACTAGTACTAATATTATGCAATAAAAAAAAATGTTATTTGACAAAAAATAAAGTAAAGAATGATCGACAATTTGTTTTCTAAATTCGCATTGAACACAATCTCCAATTTGTTCGCAATATTATATCGCACAATCTTGATCTCGTTAACAATTTGATTGAAAGAAATAACAACGTATCTTGACACGTGTCACACGAGCAAACATTATGCGATCGCGTTTTTCAATGTCTAAAAATGAATGTACTATTTATGAACACGCATATCAACGATTGAACCATTTCTATAATTAATAAAATTATCGAATTTTTGGTCACGCGTGTCCGCGCATAAATAATAATCATTTTGTTCTGTTTTTTTTTTTTTGGTTTGTTTTATTTTTTCTATTTTTCAAATTTTCTTTTCCTCCTCTTTTATGCAACTTCCGAACGAGCAGTCGTGTTCTTTCTTCGTCGCCAAATGATAAATCCAATGATACCGATCACTGCCAAAGCACCGATAACACCACCAACTATTGCACCAACGTTCGAAGTTGCAACACAATTTTCCTCTAAAAAAAGAAAAAGAAGACAATGAGAAATAATCGTTAAGATTATTTTACACAATCGAAAGAATAAAAGATAATAATTATAATTTGATATAGTACAATAATAACTCTATGATATTATTATTCTATTAGGTATTATATTATATAGAGTACATTTTTACATTTAATTTATGCGTGACCTTTTGAAAGTTAGTGAAACGTTTGTGAGAATTTTCCAACGGAATAATATCTTTGTATAATTAATTCTCATTATTATTTCATACAATCACAAATGTTAGAAGAAATATTCGTGCTCGTGAATAACGCTTACCTCTTTAGTTTCAATTTCAAGTGAAAGGGGAAAAAATTGATTGACCGAATAAATAAATGTGTTAATACGTTTCACGTAACTTTTGTCAACTTTTTGTCGAGTCAATATAATTTGTTTTTGAAATTAATTAAAAAACAAAAATAAAGAAATAATGAAAGTTATAATCCTTACCAGATCTCGAAGAGATATCGTTATTTTCTATGAAAGCTATCAAATTGACATCTTGGATCGATAATTCCATATTTTCGGTAGTAACGAAGGTTTGAACACCGCACACGTATTTACCATTCGCAGAAGTACTGAACAATGAAAGATTATTTTCGGTTGTCTGTGATATCTTGGAATCTATAAAATAAAAGATCAATCAGAATACTTCATTAATATTCGTCGGATGTTCAATTAATAATTATAATCGTTAACGCAACACTGACCTCTTGCATTTGGAAAATTTTCAGGGTCTAAAGTGATATTTACACTGATTTTATCAACCGCGTACGTAGAATCGGTCTTCTTGAATAAGAAAGAAACTTCATTTTCTTCGAGATCCAAATTGCTGAAAATTCTCCCATTTAAAAGGTTCTCAGAGGTAGACCAAATGAAATTCATAATAGAATTCGTGCTACCGCATGTACCGCTGATTGTTGCGTTAGATGGTACATCTATAGTTTTCTTTTCGACCTGTCAAATATTACATGTAAATGGATATGAGAGAAAGAAAGGGAGAAAGATACGTAACGAGAAGTCTACTTTCGATATATTAGATAGTCAAATATTTTATAGAAAATTTCTATTACGTAATTCCAATATTCGTCTAATATGAATTAAACGTTAACTAGTTTATCGAAATGTGTGTGTTTTCCTTTAATGTTATATATTATTATTAATAACTAATACCTTGTCGTCTTTTGTGTTGTACGATACGGTTATCGATATCTTCATTCTCGATAATATACATGTTTTATTTCCCTCAGTCAATCGGTTTGGATATTCCTCAATACTTGCAATGGTACTCGTACTTGGAGGTAATGTCGTTGTGCTTATGTCCGTTACAGTTGAATCCGTTGTGTTTGAGTCCGTTACAGTTGAATCCGTTGTGGATGATGTCGTTGTGTTTGAATCCGTTGT